CTACTACCACTCTGGTCCTCATATGGTGACATTTCAACCATATATCTGTGATGCATATCAGATCATGCATATTTACCTCTATCTGTGCTAACAAGTCACCACTTTTGTTACAAATGCTGTCTGCATTTAGACGCAAGGTCTCTCTTTTTATTTACAATTTTTACAAAATCTGGCCTTATCTTCTTGTTTGCATGCAAAGGGACCTCTGGCAAATGGAAGGCCTTTAAAAATGTGATAGCTAGAGTTCAAGGTCTATATGTTCATGTGAGGGTGAAGGGTAATGTTGGCAGGAGTAGGGAACCCTGGATGACAAGAGTTAATGAGGCTTTGACCAGAAAAAAGGAGGCGGCATGGCTCAGGTACAGGCAGTTGGGATCAAGAGAATCCCTGGAGTTATGTAGGAGATACAGGAGTTTACTGAAGAAGGAAATCAGGAGGGTGAAAAGGGGGCACGAGATAGCTTTGACGGAGAAGATTAGGCTGAGTCCAAAGAGATTCTTTAAGAATATTAAAGGAAAAAGAATAACTAGAGAGAGAATAGGACCCCTCAAGGACCAAAGTGGACATGTATGTGTGAACCACAGGAGATGGGCGAGGTCCTCAATGAATATTTCTCCTCAGTGTTTACTATGGAGAAAGCCATGAAAGACTCGGGAACTTGGAGAAGTTAGTAGGAATATCTTGGGGGCAATCCATATCACAGTAGAGGTGGTGCTGTACGTATTAGAATGTATGCAGGTGGATAAATCTCCTGGTCCTGATCAGATACTTCCAAAAACACTGCAAGAGGGTAGAGAAGAAATTGCGGGGGCCCTAGCTGATATATCTGCATCATTGTTAGCCATGAGTGAGGTCCCGGAAGACTGGAGCGTAGTGAATGTTGTGCCCTTATTCAAGGAGGGCTGCAGAGAAAAACCTGGGAACTATAGACCAGTAAGCCCAATATCTGTGGTAGGTAAGTTACTTGAGAAGACTCTGAGGGATAAGATCTACATGTGTTTGGAAAGTCAGGGTCTGATTAGGAGTAGTCAACATGGCTTTGTGCGTGGGAGATCATGCCTCACAAATTTGTTAGTGTTCTTGGATGAAGTGAGCAGGGCGGTAGATGTAGTCTATGTGGATTTCAGTAAGGCCTTTAAAAAGGTTCCACATGGTAAGCTGCTCTGGAAGGTTAAACCACATGGAATCCAGGGACAGCTGACAAATTGGATACACAATTGGCTCGATGGTAGGAAGCAGAGGGTAATAGTGGAAGGATGTTTGTCGGACAGGAGGCCTGTGACTAGTGGTGTACTTCAGGATTAGGTGCTGGGCCCATTGCTGTTTGTTATCTATATCAATGATTTGGATGAGAATGTCCAAGGCAGGTTTAGTAAGTTTGTGGATGACATTAAAATAGGTGGTATCGTGGACAGTGAGGAAGGTTATCAGAAAGTGCAGCAGGATCTTGATCAGCTGGGGAAGTGGACCAAGAAATGGCAAATGGAGTTTAATATAGATAAGGTGGTGCATTTTGGAAAGTCAATTCAAGTAGGAGTTTCATGGTGAATGGTAGGGCCTTAAGGAGAGTAGTGGAACAGAGGGACCTTAGAGTTCAGGTGTACAGTTCTCTGAAAGTGAAGTCACAGGGGAGTGAAAAAGGCTTTTGGCACACTGGCCTTCATCAGTTAGAGCAGTGAGTATGGAAGTTGGGAAGTTATGTAGCAGTTGTACAGGACATTGGCAAGGCCGCATTTGGAGTATTGTGTTCAGTTTTGGTCACCTTGTTAGAGGAAGGATGTTATTAAACTGGAGTGAAGAAGAAATTTACACGGATGTTGCCAGGACTCAAAGGACTGAGTTATAGGGGGATGTTGGACAAGCTAGGACTTTTTTGTTTAGAGCGTAGGAGACTAAGGGAGCATCTTATGGAAGTGTATAAGATCACTAGCAGCATGGATAGGGTGAACGCACTCAGTCTTTTTCCTGGGGGTTGGGGAATCGAGGACTAGAGGGCATCAGTTCAAGGTAAGAGGGGAAAGAATAAATGGGAACCTGATGCCACTTTTTTTGTTTAAACACAGAGGGTGGTATGCATGTGGAATGAGCTGCCAGCAGAAGTGGTTGAGGCGGGTACATAAACAACATTTAAAAGGCATTTGGACAAATACATGGATAGGAAAGGTTTAGAAGGATACGGGCCAAATGCAGGGAAATGGGGTTAGTGTGGATAGACATTTTGGTCGGAATGGACCAATTTGGGCCGAAGAACCTGTCTCTGTGCTGTAGGACTCTACGTAGGTCCCTATCTGCTGACGTACTCTTGTATGTTTGTATGTCCTGTCCATTCCTGTTGCACTTTGGCTACAATTACCCAAAATGCTGGCCCCATCTATAATGTTGTTCCTTTACTTTTAAAATATTGCCCATCACTCCCCTCCAACCCACTATTCAGTTTAAAACCCTCTCTCATGCCCTAGTTATATGATTTACCAGCACACTGGTCCCAGCATGGTTCTGGGGCAGGCCATCCCAACAGAATAGCTTTCACTTTCCCTAGTATGGATGCCAGTTCTCATGAACAAAACCCTATTTCTCTGACATCACATTTGCCCCGTCCTACTGCAGGTTCCTCTCCAGCCCAGAGCAGATATCTAAATCCTGGCAGGCAACATAACCACTGGCTACAGAAAAATATATGTATCCCCATACTACCACTATAATTCTATTTATTCCCCTCACTTGAATGGCTTACCAGACAGTACCCTGGTCAGGTAGTTCACACACCCATGCAGTCCATACTCTTCTCTAAAGAGACTTAAAGAACCTCAAACTTGTTGCCAATTGTAAGAACTAATTCTCCTGGGTCCCCTTACTTGCCTCACTTCAAGTCACTTGTTTCTACTCCTGAGCAAATCAGGAGGTCCCTCCTAGAACAAAGTGTCCTGAAACTTTCACAGCGTCTGTCCTGAAGCTCGAGTTGCACATACTTTGTTTAGATGTGTTTGTCCTGGATCACACTGGTGTCCAGAAGCATAGGCATTCTGCAATCACATCACATATTAATGATAAAACCAAGTAACCCATATGCTTATTAACCAAATTCTCAACTTATCCTCCCATCAGACCATAAAGATCATATGAAATAGGAACAGGAGTGGGTTGTTCAGCCCCTCATGGCTGATCTGACATTTCTTGCATCCATTTTCTTGTGTTTTCCCACATAACTTTCAATTCCCCTCCTAATCAATATACACAAGGAATCTGCCGCCATAGCTCCCACTGGGAAGGAGTTCCAGAGATTCTCAATCCTTTGAGAAGAAATTCCTCCTCATTTCAGTCTTAAATTTATTCTGAGACTATGCCCTCTGATCCTGGACTCCCATGACAGGAATCATCCTCAGTGTTTACACTGTCAAACTCCTTAAGGATTCTCTATGTTTCAACAAGATCACCTCTCATTCTTCCAAATTCCAATGAGTACAGTCTCAACATTTTTAAAGTTTGCTCATAAGACAATGCCTCCATACTGGGGATCATCCTCGTCAGCCTCCTCTGAACCACTTCCAATGAAACAATATCTTTCCTTATATAACGGTACCAAAATTGCGCACATTACTTCAGGAGGTGCTCTCACCAGCACTTTGTGCTGTTGAAATAAAACCATCCTACTCTTACACTCCAACTCCCTTGAAATAAGGGCCAATATTCCATTAGACTTCTTGATTACCTGCTGCACATGTAGTGGCGTTCTGTGTTTTGTACGCAAGTAACCCCAAGTCCCTTTGTGTTACAGCTTTCTGCAGTTTCCTCCATTTAAATAATTCTCTGTTCATTTGTCCTCCTTTCCAATATGAACAACTTCACATTTTCCCACATTACACTCTATTTGCTAACTTTTTGCTCACTTACTTAACATATCAATGTCTCTCCATAACTTGTTTGTATCCCTCTCGTAACTCGCTTTTCCACCCTTTTTTTGTGTTGTCTGCAAATTTGGCTATAGTACATTTGCTTCCTTCTTCCAAGTCATCTAAACAGCTGCTGTCCCAGCACTGATCCCTCTGGAACCCCACTGATAATAGGTCGTTAACCTGAAAAAAAAATCACATCACCATTCGCTGTTGCTGCCCATTTGCCAGTTTGATTCATGCCAATATACTACCTCTAACACAATGGGCTCATATCTTATGACTTAACGTTTTGTGAAGTACCTTGTCAAACACCTCCTGGAAATACAAATACAACACATCTACTGGTTCTCCTCTGTCTAACCTGGTTGAAATTTCCTTGAAAAACTCTCAATAGACTAGTCATGCATGATTTTCCTTTCATGAAGCCATTCTGGCTCTGCTCGATTAGATTATGATTTTCCAAATGTGCTGCTGTTACTTCGTTATTAATTGATTCCAACACTTTTCCAACAAATGCAAGTTAATACTGTTGGCATCACTTCTACTTTCCTCAGTCCTATCCTGCAATTTTGAAGTATTTTTAAACTTTAATGCTGCTTATATCTCTTTCTTTTGATCTCATTGTTGCTATTTTCTGAAATAAAAACAAAGTACTTGAGAAACTTATCATGTCCTACAGAACCTATGGAGAGAAAGGATTAACGTTTTCAGTCCAGTATGACTGATTTCTGATGATAGCTTCTTGTGAAGAGTCATACTGGAATCAAAACATTAACTTTGTTTCTCTCTCCATAGCTGCTGCCAGGGGTGCTGAGTTTCTTTGGCACTATTTGTTTTTATTTCAAATCTTCAGCATCTGCACTACTTTGCTGCCTTTTTCTCTTTTTTACCACATGCATTAGCTTCTCAAAAAATTTAGATTAGCTCAACAAAATTAGCAGATAAAACTTGATTGCTGGCTGAAATTCAGTTTCATCTACATTGTTGGGAACTCACTAAGTTGCTACATAATTTCAGAACTCCCAATACCCATAATTCTCCAGATTGTCTCAAAGGTTTACAGAAAAATTTCACATTCGATTTCTGCCAAGTTAAAATCCACCATACCTTTTATGTCTCTCCTGCTCAGTCAGCCTCTCTTCTTCTCCCAGGAAATGTTCATGGGTGTCCAATGGTGGAATTCCAACCTAAATGATAAATAACAGATCAGCTTTATGCAGTACCTGCAGTTTATTCATGCAGCCTCTTACTTTTGTAATTACTGATCAGTGGTTTCTTTAGCCAGTTCTTCCTCTTCTTGAAGTCATCATTTCCTCAGCTCCAGGGCCATGGAGTGGATGAGAAGCTCACACAAAAGCCCATTGCTTCAAGTTGGCTTGGGCTACAGGCTATGCTATCAAAGATGGCAACACAACCAGACTCCAACTTCTGCCCTCAGGCACAGCACCAAAACTGATTAGCTAGTCCTCAGTTAGAACCACCCTCACTGATATTCCATTACCTCAACAGTGCCTGCTGATAACATTGTTGTCCAATCACTTTCAGTGTTACATTAATTCTTTATAAATAGATATTGATGGTGGCATTTGGTGAGAGTCAAATCCAAGGTGAGTGCCAAGAAATAACTTGCAGAAGAGTGTGCATTCAGGAAGGATTGATAAGTGGCAAGTGACTTTTACACCACACAACAGCCAACGCAATGACTACCTCCAACTAGGGAGATTTCTGGCTCAGCATGCAATGGCATTCTATGCGCTGGATAGTTAACACATTCAGAGGTCTTTGACATTTTATCGAGGGCTACATTTTGATTTTCAGGCATTCCTTTTGCATTCTCATTAATTTATTAGGCAGTGCAGTCATGTAGTAACATTGCCTTCTTTATGTTGCAATATTTGGATTCTCATGAAGCAAAAGTAGAGATTCATCAACATCCTCAATAATTATGAACACGCCATTAAACTTGAAGTCACAATATACAAGTAAGGCATTAATTTCCTAGACACAGTTTTTAAATTGGCACAAGACCATAAACAAAAGTTATTTTTCAAAATTACTCTCACACACACAAATTCATCACCTAAGCACACCTTCTGACTGCTGAGATCACAGTTAATGTGTTTCCATTCCATATGTACAATGCCGGAAGATTTTCAGTCAATTAAACAATATCTCAGACTTAAGTTTAATCATTGACAACATTCATTGCCATAGTATCTACTAAAATTTTTACCGCTCCGAAACTTAGGGTCCCAATTCCTGCTTTATGTGCAGTTACAGGCTCCTGACCCTGATTACTGACAAATCTGAATTATCTAATCAAATGGGAATGACTCCCTCTTGGAACAAAGTGGCCAGGTAACATCCCCCTCCTTGATATGGCGCAACAGCTCGGACTTGAGCTCCTCAATTTGGATCCAAAGTCGCTTGCGCTGTCATAGATGTGTGCACACTGGATCAAATTGCAGCACCAAACAGCAACACATCACCTGAACAGCCATCTCTCTATTTTAATTTAATCACTCCTTTAATCTTTAATACCCTTTGCTGTATTTTTTTTTAACACCAGTATCAATGTCACACTTAAACTATTTTTAAGAAACGAGATGAAATCTAGAGACCTGAAAACAAAATAAACACCTCACTTTTCCTTTAAAGACTAGAAATACTCACTAATCCTACTTACCATTCAGCTGTTTAGTTTAGGAAAAGGCAACCAAATACCTCTCTCCTTCCTCTGCTTGACTTGAGATGCTCAATTCCAGCACTCTATTATAAGTCACATTAGGGTGGCTGCTTACATATGCCCTCAAAAAAAGGGTCTAAGTCACTACTCCCGATAAATTGTTCACTCAGTTGCTTAACAAGAATCTATTTCTGCCTTTGAAAATTTTCAAAGACTCTGCTTCCAATACTTTTTCAGGAAGGGAGTTTCAAAGACTCTTGACCCCCCCAGAGAAAGAATTTCATCTCATATCTGTGTTAAATGAGTGACACCTTTTAAAAATAGTAACCTATTTCTGGAGTCTCCAATAAGAGGAAATATCCTATCCACATCAACACTGTCAAACTGAGTTGCCTTTACTCTTCTGAACCCCAATGGATACAAGCCTAGCCTGTCCAACCTTTGCTCATAAGGTAAACTAGCCACTTAGGATATTGGTTGGGTATATCTTCATGAGCTGCCTCAAACATATTTACATTCTTCTTTAAATAATGAGACCAATACTGTATACAGTACTCCAAATGTGATATTACCTGTGTCCTCCATAAGTGAAGCATAACCTCTTTATTTTTATATTCAATTCCCTTCACAATAAACACTAATATTTGTTTAGCTTTTGTAGCTACTAGCTGAATCTGCATACTAACCTTTAGTACATGAGGATACCCAGATCTCTCGACATCTTAGAGCTCTGCAATCTCTCACCTTTTAGACAAAATATTCAGTTTTCACTTCTTAAAATGGATAATTTCATGTTTTTATACACGAAGCAATGTATCAGTATACTCCACATCCCGTCTGACCAATCCACGCACGCGATGGTTGCCGCACTGACCAATCCACATGCATGACAGATACTTTATAAATACATTAAAAGGGAAAAGGTTAACTAGGGAAAGGGTAGGGCTCATTCGGGAAAAAGGGGTAATCGGTGTGTAAAGCAAGAGGATATTGGAAGAGTGTTGAATGAATCCTTTTCTTCACTCTGGAAAAGGAGAATGTAGGTATGAAATTCAGAAGAAGGGACTGTAAGGAACTTGCACAGTTTGACATAGGAAATGAGGAGGTATTGGAGGCTCAGTCAGGCTTAAACCGACAAATCCCCTAGCTCGGATGCACTGCAGCCCAGGCTGCTGTGGGAGATGAGGCAGGAAACTGCAGGAGTTTGGACACAATTTTTTAATTCCTCTGTGGACAAGGGGGAAGTGCCAGAGGACTGGAGGACAACTAAGGCAGTTCCATTTTTTAAGAGGGGTGGCAAAGATGAACCAAGAAATTACAGACCATGAGCCTCATTTCAGTGATAGGGAAACTATTGGAGAAAATCCTGAACGAGCGAATTAATACCACTTGAAAAGGCATGGGTTAATTAGGGATAGTCAGCATGGCTTTGTCAAAGGGAGGTCATGCGTATCAAATTTCTTAGAATTTTTTGAAAATGTGATCAAGCATGTGGATGACAGAAATTCAGTTGGTGCACATGATATGGATTTTAGCAAAGCTTTTGACAAGGACCCACATGGGAGACTGATTGAGAAGGTTAAAACACATGGAATTCAACAAAACTTGATGAGATGGATCAGAAACTGGCTTAGTAATAGGACACAAAAGGGTAGTGATAGAAGGCTGTTTGAGTAGGTTGGCTGGTGTCCAACAGTGTACAACAAGGATCAGTCCTGAGACCCTTACTCTTTATTATATGCATAAATAATATAGATGAAAACGCAGGGAATAATGTTCAGCAAATTTGCAGATGACACCAAGATTGAATCATAGAATCCCTACCGTGTGGAAGAAGGCCATTCAGCCCATTAAGTCCACATTGATCCACTGAAGAGCATCCCACCCAGACCTACCCCCTACCCTATCCCTGGAACCCTATATTTCCATGGCTAATCCATGTAACCTCCACATCTTTGGTCTGTAGGAGGAAGCTAGCTCACCCAGCAGAAACCCATACAAACGCCACGCAGACAGTCAATGACAGGGTGGAATCAAACCCTGGTCCCTGGTGCTATGAAGCAGCGGTGCTATGAAGCAGCAGTTCTAACCACTGAGCCATTTTGCCGCCGTTGGTAGAGTGGTTAAGAGTGAAGATGATGGTTATAGGTTACAGGAAGATACAGATGAGCTGGTCAGATGGGCAGACCAGTGACAGATGGTATTCAACCCTGTTAAGTGTGAGGTATTGCATTTTGATAGAAGAAACAAGAGGAGGGAGTACTTAATGAATGACAGGACACTGGGCAGCTTAGAGGAACAGAGGGATCCAGGGGTGATTATTCACAGATCCCTGAAGTCAGCAGAGCACCTAAACAGGATAGTTAAGACGGCACATGGGACACGTGCTTTCATTAGTACATAGAGTACTTTCATAGAGTACAAAAGCAAGGAGATAATGTTGGAGATAGTGGGAACTGCCGATGCTGGAGAATCTGAGATAACAAGATGTACAGCTGGATGAACACAGC